CACTAGACTTTTTTAAGTTCTTTCTATATTTCCCCTTCCTAAGATATTTCAGCTTTTAAAATGAAACATGACAAAACCTTTGCATGGCTCTTTAATAATGCTTAAAATATACATAAATGTTGCAATGATTATATGTGCCCAATATTGTAGCCCTGCTCACATGCTATAGTTGCAGTCAACATCATGGGGCTCCCTTTTAAAAGGCAGCCATTGTATATAGGGTCTTTTTAGCACTTCAGTAAAAGCTCACATGCTTATTCACAGCACTTGGCCTTTTACCCTTGATAAACACAAGTATTTGCCAAGTGTAATGGGATCAACGTTAGAATAGGAATCAGATCTAATGTAAATGCTGTCTTAGCTAAACATACAACTTATTTATTTATTTATTTTTTGACAGGCAGAGTTAGACAGTGAGAGAGAAACAGAGAGAAAGGTCTTCCTTCCATTGGTTTACCCCCAAATGGCCGCTATGGCTGCCAAGCTGTGCCAATCCGAAGCCAGGAGCCAGGTGCTTCCTCCTAGTCTACCATGCGGGTTCAGGGACCCAAGCACTTAGGCCATCCTCCACTGCCTTCCCAGGCCACAGCAGAGAGCTGGATTGGAAGAGGAGTAACCGGGACAGAATCCGGTACCCCAATGGGGACTAGAACCCGGGGTACCGGCACCGCAGGCGGAGGATTAGCCTAGTGAGCCGCGGCACCGGCCCACACAACTTATTTTAACCCTTGTTTTATCACATGTAATATAAGAGAACCAGAAAAAATTTCATTCACGCGAGCATGTTATGATAACTCCATTTACTCAGTCAACAAGGTTTATAGATTCTTCTATGTGCTATGCATTGGGTTGCAAATGTGAATAAGGCACTTCACACTTTGTTAGGGGGTGGGGTCACAATTTCAGTTACTGTTTAATGCCTTGAAGGGCAGTACTTGCAGAAATGACAAAAGCTTAGGTTACTCAGGGAAAGCTTCTGTATGGATGTGACACTCGAGGTGGGACTTCAAGGCTGAGAAGGACTCAGCCATGCCAAGTTCTAGGGCAAGAGTTCTCCAGGCAGAGGAACAAATGTAAAGACAATTCATATCAGCAACTTTCTCAACCACTGACTTTATTTGAAACCTAGTTTAAAATAGTCCCCACTCAATGGAGCCTCTTGGGATTAATTCTATTTTCAAATTATAGTTTATGGGCTCAATTTACACTAAATACTATATCCACAGGTTTAAGTCTGTAGTTCTGAAAATATAATTAACTGTAGTGTTTATTCTAGTCTCACAGTAAGTCAGATATTTTTATAGAGAGAATCCTAGGACTCTTCATCTTCCACAGTACTTCAGCAGTACGGTGTACGGAGAATGTTCATTAAATGTTCAGGACCAACTACTAGAAAGAAAATCAGTATTTTGGTTCCTAATCCCCAGAATAAGGTTTATTAGAGAATCCACGGAAGAACTAAGGCGACACTAATTCCCGTGGAAAGAGCAAATGACTGATAAGTAAGAAATCTCATATTCAATTCCTAGCTCTACCATTTACTTAGGCATGTGGCTTCTGGAAAATCATATTCTATGACCACTTATTAATCTCTGGAAAATGCAGTTATCATTTATCCTACCTACCCAGGATTGGCTGGCTACCAATTAAATTCCATGAGAGATTAGGATTGTTGTGCTTAAAGGAATTCCCAGCTTGCTGTGGAAACAGAACATAAATACAGGAAACAATGAATGTGTTTTCATTTTAGAATTAGAAGAGACATTAAATGATTTTGTTCAATTCCTCATTTTACAAGAAAACTTAGAGGCCCCAAAACCAAACGACATGCTCAAGGTTAGAATTTTAGCTGTACATCACCTAAATTGCCCAGCATACTTTTCATGATTGCACATAGTGTTTACCACTCTCGCAATCTCATGCCAATGTCCACACTTCACAATTTAACATACTCTGCACCAGCATCCAGAATGACAAAAACTAAACGATACTCTAAAAAGTGTACCTGGGTAGATCCCTGAGGTTGAGATCTTTTACATTTAGTATCAGAACTGAATTTAAAAAGTGCCAAATGGGGGTGGATGTTTGGCTCAGTGGATTAAGTTCCCACCTGAGATGCCTGCATCCCATATCAGAGCACTGGTTCATCCTGGCTGCTCTGCTTCAGAGGTGTACCCTGGGAGGCAGCTGGAGCTAGGCCAAGTACTTGAATTCTTGCCACCCATATGGTAGACCAGAACTGAGGTCCAGGCTCCTGGGGTTAGCCTGGCCCAGCCCTTGTGGTTGCATATCGCTGGCGAGTGAACCAGCAGATGGAATACCTTTCACTGTCTTTCGATTTTTCAATGAAAATGAAAATACATTTTTAAAGAGTACCAAATGAATATTACTGAGTCACACTATTAAGAACCCAAAGATTAAAAGCAGCGGATGTTTTAGACATTATATCTACTAAATAATTGCCTATTTGGCCTCCGGTTGGGATTTCTTTTTAAAACAGTTTCTGTGGGCCGGCATTGTGGTGCAGAAGGTTAATCTGCTGCCTGTCACCCCAGTATCCCTTGCTGAAGTACAGGGTTAAGCCTCAGTTGCTTCACTCTCCATTAAGCTCCTTGCTCCTGTGCCTTGAAAAGCAGCAGAAGATGGCTCAAGTGCTTGAGCCCCTGCACCCATGTGGGAGACCTAGAGGGCCATTTAGGGAGTGAACCAGAAGATGGACGATCTTTCTAACACTGCCTTTCAAATAAATAAATAAATAAACCTAACAGAAAACAAAAAAAGATACTTTCTAGTTATATTGTTACAATATATTGATATAATTATTCTTGTTATTTGACTATATATAAATATAGCATATGGTCTTAATTTAAAAGACAATGTACTTCTATAAATTGAAAGCAATATAAAATAATTTTTGTTTCTGGTCATCCTTCTCTGTTCACTTTTTATGATTTAATCTAGAAGACTGAGAAATAGTTACTGAGTGCTCTTGATTATATAGTATGCAAAGGAAGAGTATGATGGAAATTATGTAGTGGTTTTTCAAAATCAGAAAGGTGTAAATTCAGGATTTAAAGGGAAAACAAATCGGATATATAAAAATGAAAACCAAAACAAACACCCCTAAATGCCTAATATTAGAAAGAAATTCTCATCTGAAAACAAAAATCTACTCCTTAGGAATATCCTCCCCTCAAAGTTGAAACATATCTGAAAGAAGGGTCTTGGAAACATAAAAAGCTAACCAGAAGTGAAAAGGCTTTGAGGGAAGAATATCAAAATGGCAAATGTCTCCTTAATAACTTGCATTCTTCCATGAAGCAAGAATCCAAAAAGCTTTAGAAAGCAGTTTGTAAAAACTAAGGTTGTGAGAGTCAAGTAATTTTGTGAGGTAGACCACGGAGTACAAGTTATTATTATATAATAATTTCTTGTCTACCAGCATAGCAGTTCACCACAGAGTAGACGTAAATGCTTATTTAAAAACTGCAATTCTTGTAGACTGACTCATTCCATTTTTATTCTTAAAAAAGAATGTTAGCCATTAAAGCTGAATCAACTATCCACTTCTGAAAAAGGAATTTATCATAGCCTCAATAGGAAAAGAAAAAAAAAATTTTTCCTCTTCAAAATACAGGTCTTCTTTTAGTTAGCTATGTGACCTTAAAGCAGGTCATTGCTCCAGTCTGGAATTAAGTTTCCTAATAATATGTGTCAGGCATTGTTGGGTGTTTTGCATATATTGTTTAATAGGATCTGTTATATGGATAAAATAAAATAGAATATTATTATCTCTATTTTACACTTATGGAATTGAAAGCTCAAAGGAGTTAAGAAACTTGCTCCCAAATTACACAGCTAGAATGTGGTATATCGGATATACTGAACCTTTCTAAAACTAAAAAGAAAGGAAGAAAGGAAGATAGAAAAAGAAAAAAGCATTGAATGTTCATTAACTCACTACTTTTAACTGGCTGTCATGTAAATGCAATTTTATATTTTTAAAATAGAGACAGCTCTTTGAGAGTCTATTATGTTTCACCAGGATTTAACAAGGTTCTTAATGGTACAGGTAGAGCAAAGTGCTTAATAAATTTTATAGCGAAAAATAGCAACTGTTTGACAGATACTATCCCCAACTAAAAATTTAACAAGTTCCACAGTGTGTCTTTAAAATGCATATTCAGTTTTTACTTTTCTAAATTTTATGGTCCTTAGAACCAATCTACCCCTTTATGAACTAGAAAAGGAGAAATGTATGAAAAGCACAGATACTTTGATCTGTAATAAATTACTGCAGAACACAGAATGGGTTCCAGACAGAGAAATTCGGCGACATTCTGGCTGTCACCAGAAATGACAGATACGATGGATAACTGGATAGGAAAGCAGCTGGTTATCAGCAAAACCAACAGTTATCTTTTCAGAATATGCTACTTGAAACTTCTTTTCATCGTAGACCAGTCGGCGTTACCACGGGTGAAATTCATCTAAAACAGCTAGACACTGAATACTGCGAGTGCTGCTTTATGATATCGGAAAAACAGAGTCATTCGGTACTAAGGGAGAACATTTTATTAGAATTGATGACCTAGTAACTTGGCAAGCATTTACTGAGCATCCCTTACGCCCCAGGCACTGAGCTGGAAACCGAACATAATACCATCGTTGGCCCTTCGCGTCTAGCGAACTCCAAAACCGCCAGTCTTCACGGAATTTACTCACAGGTATGAGAACTGGCGGGTCACACTACCGCACAGTTCATTCTGTTTGAGGTGACCCAAATCCAGGCACCAGACTATCTGATCCACACTCATGAAGAGTGTCGGGGTAAAGAAAAAAAAGAGACAGCTAGCGGGAGCAGTCGCGCCTCCTCCACACCCCGTCTCTGAAGGGCTGGGGGCACTCCTGGGTGGACCCCGCCGGGCCCCTTCGGAGCCAGGACCAGGCAGAGGCAGGGACCGCCCAGGACGACTGTCTCCGTGCTGGGGCTTGCTCACCTCTTCCACCTCGATCTCCTTGTAGTCGATCTCCTCAAAGTTAAGGACCTGGGTAGGGGCTTCGATCATCTCACTGGTCGAAGACGAAGAGGAGGAGGAGGCGGCAGAGGCTGTAGACATGATCCCTCGCGGGGCCCGGGGGGCCCGAGGACAGTGCCGCCGGGACAATCCAGGTGAGGCTCGCGCCCACCCTCCTCCGGACCGACCTTCAGCTTGGAGCCGCGCAGCCCTGCCACCCAGCGATCCGTGGCCGGGGTGGGGGCTGCAGCCACAGCCGTGTCCCGGCTCCGGCGCCGCTGCGCTTTCCGCTGCCGGGCCCGCCCACTGCACTTCCGGTTCCGGTCCGAAATCGGAAACAGGGGAGCCGCGAGCCCGAAAGAGGGAAGAAGAGGGTTTTGTGACTTGGAAAGAGAAAGGAGGGACAGACTAGGGGTGGGGTGGAGGAGGGTAAGAGGCTCGCTAGAACATGTAGAACAAATTTCGCGAGATCTTTGTTAAATGGCCTCAGCAAAAGGATGATACCGCGATATCTGACGGCCTGACGTAATTAAAGTGCGCGAGCGGAAGTGGCGTGGAATATGACCGAAAAATCGGCGTGGTTGGTCGCTTAAGAACCAGCGGGAAAGACAAAAAGCTGCGGTTTGATGTCTGCTTGGTGAACTATGTCGTTCCTACCTTTCTTCTTCTCTGAGCGGCCTCCATACGGACAAGGTGGTGTTGAGCTGTGTTTTTGTGATGAAGCTTACTTTTCATGTTGAGTACTAAACTAAAATGAGCTATTTTTTTCAGAAACCCTGTAAAATGTGCTTTCCTCTGTGTTGTGTTTGGAAGGCAGCAGATGTCTCCTGAATTCTGGGCCGACTGGACATTTCTGTTTAGATATAACGTGAACACCGAAACTTCAGAATGCCAAAAGCAAGTTCAAAGACTGTCACCACAAATCTGTTCCTTTGTGTGCCGTTCCTATCTCAGTGAAGGATCCCGTCACCTACTCAGTTGTCAATGTGAAAAATGAGAACATGTGGAATGCTGTGCAGAGCACTAGTAACCAAACAAGAGCAGATTAGATCAGTAGAGATCATCAACTGTTGTTTCCCTTGCATTTCCACACCAGGAGCCAACTCTTGTGCTATGACTGAATGGGTCCATATATCGGATTTCTCTTTAATGCTATTGTACCCAGATCGTTAGATCCCAGCAGAGACCCCCAGAGAGTCGATCACACCAAGCTGCAAAAAGCAAGGTTTATTCGGGAGTACAAGCCGCGACAGGGACCCTATCCAACCAACCAGCACAGCAGAGGAAGGAGTGAGGCCCCGGTCTTTGGGAGAGTTTTTAAAGGAAAAAAAAAAAAGGGGGTGTTACATCAGCAGGAAAAACAGAGTTGCATCAGCGGGGGCTTACAGCACGGAGCTTTGGGTACAGGGAGTTACTTTGTTTAGCAATCTCTACTGCGCTCTCCTAGGTCTACTGAGCTAGCTGTCCCTGGTAAGCTTTGATATCTCCGGAATGCCTGAATGCCTGCTTTTACAAGGACCCGGGTCTGCTATGGGAAATGGAGGCTGCTTTTTTTATTGTTTTAAAATGGAGTCACTTTGGCTCTTCAATGCTTTAGTCTTAGTATAATGGATTCTGCCAGATGGGGACTCAGGAAATGTTTGTAATTTATTCTGGACAAATGAATAGCTTTTCTCAGTCCTCCCTTTCCTTAGAATGTAAGATCAGTTTCCTATACCTACAGTTTAGGAGTCCACCTTTTACATTTTATTATACTTGCTCCATCATTTATTTGTCACGTTATTCATCCATACATCTCTTTTTTGTTGTTGGGTGCTTTTCAAAGTGAATTGTTTGGGGGCCGGCATTGGTGTAGTGGGTAAAGCTTCCACCTGTACTGACAGCATCCCGTATGGACACCAGTTGGAGTTCCAGCTGCTCTACTTCCTATCCGGCTTTCTGCTGTGGCCTGGGAGGGCAGTAGAAGATGGCCCACGTCCCTGGGCTTCTGCACTGGTGTGGAAGATCGAGAAGAAGCTTCTAGCTCTTGGCTATAGATCGGCTCAGCTCCATCCATTGCAGCCATCTGGGGAGTGAAACAGCAGATGGAAAATTTTCTCCCTCTCTCTCTGCCTCTGCCTCTTTATAACTCTGCCTGTCAAGTAAATAAATAAATCTTTTTTTTTAAAAAAAGTGAATTGTTTGTATAATTTTGAACATTCCCTTTTCGATACTTCTATTTCTGTCTTTCATTCACAGCTTTGGACTTCTGACTTTAAAGATTTATTTTACGTATTTGAAAGGCAGAGTCAGAGAGAAGGAGAGAGAGAAAGAGAGAGAAATCTTCGATCTACTGGTTCACTCCCCAAATGGCTGCAATGGCTACGGCTGGGCCAGTCCAGGTCTTCCATGTGGGTGACAGGGGCGTAAGTACTTGGGCCATCTTCCCCTACTTTCCCAGGTGCATTAGCAGGGAACTGGATCAGAAGTGGAGCAACTGGGACTCAAACTGGTGCCCATATATGATGCCAGCAATGCAGGTGGCTTAACCTACTGCAGTACAATGCTGGCCCCAAACTTCTGATACTGATGTGTGTCTAAAATAAATCCACATCTGACTTGCTTGCCTGACACCTGTTCCCTAATTAATGAGAAGTCTCAGCAGGCTGCAGATTCAGGTTCTAATCCACATCTTCCATTATATGATTTGGTTGTGCAAATTGTGTCCCATTTTTCAGTAACTTGCTTCACGTACTTTTGTCACTGCACACAAAGAATTCCAGATAACAAGGTTTGAATCCAGAGAAGTGAGAGGGGAGCTCTCTTGATTCACTTTAAACCTATCTTGACTCACCTCAATTTTGACTTTGAATTCTCTTTACCTTTCATGTATGAAGCATGCAAACTGGATCTCATGGTTTCATGTCAACATCAGTCATGTCAACATTTTGTCTCCAGAATTCCCAGAGATACATAGCAAGCTCTACAGATGGTCTAATTTTTTTTTTTTTTTTTTGACAGAGTGGACAATGAGAGAGAGAAAGAGAGAAAAGTCTTCCTTTTCCGTTGGTTCACCCCCCAATGGCCGCTGCGACTGGCGCGCTGCAGCCTGCGCACCACTCTGATCCGAAGCCAGGAGCCAGGTGCTTCTCCTGGTCTCCCATGGGGTGCAGGGCCCAAGGACTTGGGCCATCCTCCACTGCACTCCCGGGCCAGAGCAGAGAGCTGGACTGGAAGAGGAGCAACCAGGACAGAATCCGGCGCCCCGACCACGACTAGAACCCAGCATGCTGGCGCCACAGGCAGATGATTAGCCTATTGAGCTGTAGCGCTGGCCAACAGATGGTCCTCTTGAAGTCTCGGTTTGAATACTCTACCACCCACCCTCATGTTAGCATCTTAATAACTACTCACTAATTTCCAATTCTGTCTTCAATTTTAGCCCTTATGTACTCTCAGAGATGAGGGGACAAGGGTTTCAGAATCTGTTTCCTACCACTCCTTTCTCATTTCCAAATGATATTTTCATCTTTCTTGCCTCATTTTGGTTATAGGGATACCTGGCATCTGTTTTCAAGGAGGCTTAGCAGAAACTGAAAGTAACTCCACTTTAACATTCTGTTGTATTGGTATCATATATCAGATAATGAGTTCTGTATTTTCTCAGTTAATATGAGTTGTAAGTAACAGGAGACCCAAAACAGGATGGCCTAAACAAGTAAGGGGGTTTATTGGTCTGGTTAAGTCGAAAGGAAGGGACTAAGTCTGACTTCAGGTTTCATTTACTTGATAGACTTACGGGTAGCAACAATTGTGTTTTTTTTTTATCGTTGTCTCCCTGAGGAGTCTTTTCAGACGTCTTCATGCTCCTCCTCAAAGTTCTTTTTTTTTTTTTTTAAGAATTTTCAATATTTGAAAGGCAGAATTACAGAGAGAGGGAACCATGCATATCTGAAAGCAGGAGCCAGGAACATCATCCAGATCTCCCAAGTGGGTGGCAGGGACTCAAGCCCTGAACCCTAATCTACTGCATCTCAGGCACCTTAACAGAGAGCTAGATTGGAAGCCAAGTAGCCGCAAGTTGAACAGGGACTGTTACAGGATGTGGGCACCTACTGTGCCAGAGCACCTGCCCCTCCCTAAAGTTTTACTATAAAATATACTTTATATCTGTTTGTGTTATGCTATGTTATGTTTTATACATAAAAAAGGTAAGACTTTTTTCTTTCCCCAATTTTTACCTACTTTGGAGGTGATATTCTCCTGATTAGGAATGCATGCACTAGAAGTTTCATTTTTCACATGACATACACTGTCAAGTACAACAGATAGCATCTCTTTGGTAGCTATTTCAGAAGAGTGGAGAACTTTGTTTTTCAAAGGAACTTGGCAGGGCTGGCACCGGGACTCACTTAGCTAATCCTCCGCTTGCAGCGCCGGCATCCCATATGGGCGCTGGGTTCTAGTCCTGGTTGCTCCTCCTCCAGTCCAGCTCTCTGCTGTGGCCCGGGAGGGCAGTGGAGGATGGCCCAAGTGCTTGGGTGCCTGCACCTGCGTGGGAGACCAGGAAGAAGCACCTGGCTCCTGGCTTCGGATGGCGCAGTGTCAGTCGTAGAGGCCATTTAGGGGGTGAACCAATGGAGGAAGACCTTTGTCTCTTTGTCTCACTGTCTGTCAAAAAATAAATAAATAAATAAATAAAAACAACTTGGCAACTGTACTGTTCAGGGAGGGATGGGGATTGGGGCTTAAATAACTATTGGCTTTGAGGAGGAGGAGATTCTAACCAGAAGAAAAAATGGGGCACTCAAGAACAGTAAAGCAAGGAATGACTACTGGGTATACAACCAGCAAATGTTCATAATTAATGTTTGTTAAGGTTGAGCTCTGTGATGGTTAAATTTGTGTGAACTTGATTGGCTTTAAGGATGCCTCAATGGCTGCTAAAACAGTATGGCTAGGAATGTCCATGAGGATGTCTCTGAAAGAGATTAGCATTTGAATCAGTGCACTGAGCAAAGATTTGCCCTCAACATTGTTGGTGGGTGCCATCCAATCCATTGAGGGTCTGAATAGAACAAATAGGTGGAGGAGGGTGAATTCACTTTTTTCCTTAAGTTAGATCATCCATTTTCTCCTGCCTGCAGGTTTTGGAGCTCCTACTTCTTAGACCTTTGCACTTCAAGACTAAGACCAGTACCACCTCCCCAGTGCTCCTGGTTCTCATGCCTTTGGATTTAGATTTAATTACACATTGGCTTATGTGAACCAGTTGTCATATTAAATCTCTTCATATACATCCTTTGGTTTTATTTTCTGAAAAATACTAATACAAATTCTATTCCTATAAAGCCCTTTCTTTGCTGCTTGCCCTAGAACCAAACCACCCCAACACCATCAGATATTTTTTTTCCCAGGAAGTTCAAAAACAATTTCCTGCTGTTTTATATTGAAAACTAGAGTATGCAGAAGATAATCAACCCCTTGGCATTTCAGGGGAACTGCTAGAGAGCAGGTCTCCAAATTCATGCATTTTCTGGATTTGTTTCATGTTTTCTGCTCCTCCCTTTTTTGTACCCTTTTTTGGCACCCTAGGAGAAGCTAAACTGGAATCTAGCCAACCCATGGAACTCCTGAAGGATTTGATTTCTAGGTACCCCAGTGGGGCCTGTCAGAGTGGATATACAAGAGTGGAGTAGAGACTTCTGACAAATGTAGCTCCAGACATTCTGACATCACATTTAGCTGACCTTTATGTTTGTTGTTAATATTCTTTGCTCTTCCCCCCAACACCCAACCAAACTAGCTGTAAGTGACTGCTTTGATGACACCCATGTGTTCTTCAGATAAAATCTCCATCACTGTTTTGCAAATACTTGACATGAGAAAGTTCAACTAGCCTTAGAATCCATTTGTATTATAACAAGAAATAAGAACATTAAAAATGACAGAGGAAGAGCCATTAGATTCTCTAAATATAGTTCCAATTGCTAAAAAATTTAGAATGGTTGGAAAAATATTTAAATTTCTTTTTTATTTTCCTGTGTGAACAAAGTTTTCCTTTGTTGGTAACTATCAAGAATTTGAAACACCAGCAGTTAAGGTGCTCGTTGAGGGGCTGGGGCAGTGGGTAAAGCTGCCACTGGCAATGCCAGTATACCATACAGGTGCTGATTCATGTCCTAGCTGCTCCATTCCAGTTCAGGTCTCTTCTCATGGCCTGGGAAAAGCAATGGATGACAGCCCATGTATTTGGCACCTTACACCCATGTGGGAGGCTGGATGAAGCTTCTGGCTCCTGGCTTTGGCCTGGCCCAGCCCTGGCCATTGCCACCATGTGGGGAATGGACCAGCAGATGGAAGATTTTCTCTTTCTCTCTCTCTTTCACTCTCTATCTCAGTAACTCCAACTTTCAAAGTAAATAAATAAATAAATCTTTTTTAAAAAGTGCTGGTTGTGACACCCATATCCCCTTTGGAAGTGCCTGCATTTGAGTCCCAGCTCGGCTCATGATTCCAGCTTCCTGCCAGTGCAAACTCTGGGAAACAGAAAGTGATGGCTTCAGTGGTTGGGTCCTTGCTGCCCATGTGGTAAACCTGGGTGGCCTGACCCAGCATCACCTGATGTGGGCATTTGGGGAGTGAGCCAATGGGTTGGAGCTCTGTTTGCCTTTCTCTCTCCCTCTCTCTCTCTCTCTCTGCCTCTTGTAAATAAATACATTTTTAAAAAGAATTTGAAGAGATCATCCTTTAAAAGTCTTAATTAGGAATTGATGGACATCATCTCAAATATAAAATATTTTATTAAAAATTGTATTTTGAAAGAAAGCTTATAAAATTTTTGAAATATATCTTAGGTGCTTTTTGCAAATTCAGTATTTAACATTGTCTCTAATAATTGGATATATTTTACTTTAAAAATTACATAGTATAAAAAAACCAACAATTCCCTAAAATGAAGGAACCTTCTAGTTCCTGCCAGGGTATTTTTCAATAGTATAATTTTCTGTATGTGTCATGGCCTGAGAAATCTGGGGAGTCCTTGAATTAAGAGGCAGTTGCAATAATTGCGGCAAGAAGTAATAGTGATTTGAACAACATAAACGTGGCCATAGTGGTTATAGATAAATGAGTAGATTTGGGAAATAATGAGGAGACAGAATTTGGTGGGAGTTAGTGATCATCACTGGATGTGGGAAAGGAGGTAAAAGGAAAGGGCAATGTGTAGGACAGTTCCCAGATTTTTCACTTGTGCAACACAGGAAAGGAAAGGTGCCTTTGCAGAAAGCAAAAAGACTTGGACAAAGTTGAAGAAGAAACTGCATCAATTTTAGACATGTTAAGCTAGAGGTTCCTGAGAAACTTCTAAGTTTTATATAGTTAGATAGATAAACATTGTCCTATTGATGATAATTAAAGTCATGAAGATATGATCATTGAAGGGAAATGTATAAAATGAAAAAGAATAGGACTTAGTATACAGCTTAAGGAATAAATGGTTAAGGGGTTGGTGGAAGTGGAGAAACTGCCCAAGAAATTTGTGGAAAACCAAAAATTGGGGCCGGCGCCCTGGCGCACTAGGTTAATCCTCCGCCTGTGGCCCCGACATCCCATATGGGCACCGGTTCTGGTCCCGGTTGCTCCTCTTCTGGTCCGGCTCTCTGCTGTGGCCTGGGGGGGCAGTGGAGGATGGCCCAGGTGCATGGGCCCCTGCACCCACGTGGGAGACCGGGGAGGGGGGGGCGCACCTGGTTCCTGGCTTCGGATCTGCGTAACTCTGTCTGTTGCGGTCATTTGGGGAGTGAACCAATGGAGGGAAGACCTTTCTCTCTGTCTCTCTCTCTCTCACTTTCTGTAATTCTACCTGTCAAATACATAAATAAAAATCTAAAAGAATAAAAAACAAAAATTATGATGTGGAAGCCAAGATAAGAAGAGTATTTAAGTGCTCAGTTTTGTACTTGCAAAAGTTACATGTGAGAAAATGTAATGATGTCTATTGGATCCAAGAATCAGAGGTCATTCTTAACCTTGAATAGGGTAATTTCCATGATAGGAAGCGATGTTGGACAAGGTAGTTTGAGAAGTCAAGGAGAGATTAGAGGAATTATGACAGTAAAATGAACAACTTTCTGAGAAATTTGATTCTTAAGGGAGGAAAGATATACAACAGTGTGAATGAAACTCACATCAGAACAAGGAAATTTTGGGCTCTGGAAAGAGTGTAGGTTGAAATGATGGTTCATGGGAGCTAACCGGAAGAGACAATGATGAGGTAATGGGAGGATATGATGAAGTAGATGAAGTCGGAAGGGCCAATGGGTGGAGATTTGCCAGATGGTTGAAGAACAGGTGTGATGAAAGTTTTCTGGGCAAACTGGATGGGTCTGGGGTTGTGATTAGAGAATGAGATGTTTGAATATGTGATTTCAAAGGCGGTACAGTGTTAGTGGAGGGCAAGATTTGATCTATAACTTGGAGAAAATGGGGAGTGGATTCTTGGCACTGCATAGCCAGGGTATCAGTGGGTCATTCTGCTTTCTGCTGTTGGACATTGAGGTTGTTTCTAACATTTATGTCCCATTAAATATATATTTCTGAGATGACCATCCTTGCATTTAAATACATGCTCTTAGAGTGTTTCATGCTAAAGTTATTCTGTTTCTTTGGGTATCCTATTTTCCTTTCTCTGAAAGGGATTCTAGTTTGCTTATGCTTTAAAGACAGGTGGTGGGGTGGGCATTTGGTAAAGCAGTTAAGATGCCCCTTGGGGTACCTACATTCCATATTGGAACACCTGGGTTTGAATCTCAGCTCTGTTCTTGATTTCAGCTTCTTGCCAATGCACATCCTGGGAGGCAGCAGATGATGGCTCCAATATCTGGGTCCCTGTGCAGACCCAGATTGAGTTCTTGGCATCTGGGTGCAGCCTGGCCCAGTTCTGATTGTTGCAAGTATTTGAAGAGTGAACCAGCAAATGAGAGCTCTTTGTCTTTCTATCTTTCAAATGAAAAATATGAGGGTGGCAAACCAATCTGAAGCCAGGAGCCAGGAGCTTCTTCCAGATCTCCCACGTGGATTCAGGGGCCATCTTCCACATAGCAGAGAACTGGATTGAAAGAGGAGCAGGCGGGACTCGAGCTGGTGCCCATATGGGATGCCAGCACTT